TGTAGTAACGCTACAGGCGGCGCTTTGTTCCGCGTCACGCCAGTCTAACGGAAAACAGCGGCGCTTCGCTGGGGATGAAGGGATTGGTCTCCGGCGGAGGATAAGCGCGGCTGGATGCGGAGGAATAGCATGAGAGCGGCTTCATAAACACGCAGTTCTGCGCACACGCCCGCTTTATTCCCGCGCCACGGACAAGATGGAGCAGGGGGTGTTCTCGCCTTTGTTGGAGGGGTTTCTGCGGTCTCCGCTGGTGTGCTGGGTGGGTGACCGCGCGGATGCGTGTCGCGTCGCGTCGCGATGGTCTGCAGAGCTTCACCTGTGTGTGTGTGTGTGTGTGTGTGTGTGTGTGTGTGTGTGTAGGTGAAGACGGTCTCTCCGCTGGGCTCCGATGGCTCTCCTCTCTCCGACTTCGTGACTCTGCTGGACGGGGTTTATTTAAACGACATCATGACTGAGATGTGAGTACGAACAGATTCACGATGGACAGCTCTTTTTCCCTGAAAGCTGGAAGCTGCTCCTCAGACTGTGGTGTTTGTGTAGAGTAACGTTAGCGGCTGCCACACATGCTGGTTATAATGTGCTGAATCACGGCAGTCCTGCTGTATTTCAGGGATAGCACTGTCAGCAGGGCTGCGATTGGGCCGCTGGGGTCACGTGACTGCTGTTTGTGATTATGAGGGCCATATTGCTTTTATGCAAGAGTTCAATAAGTCTGACCGAGGCCAGCAGCCAATCAGATTTGAGGATGGCAGCTCACTCTGGAGTCATAAGCTGGGGCTGGTTCCAGTTCGTCCCTCTGTCTAGTGCACTCCGTGTACGCCATTGAGTAGGTTGCATGAGTGCCCACTACTGGCCTAAGCCCTTGGTCACTATGGAGTTGGTTTATTGGTTACATTTTCCCCTTTACGAAGGTGTTTGGAGCAGCATTCTGTATGTGTATAAGTATGCTTGGGCTGTTATTCATGTAAAACAACATTATAGCACGTATATTATAGAGTTGTTTGGGCTGGGGATAAATTAAACGCCATGTGCGATGATGGAGCGGCCTGAAGTGTGCTTATGAAGCTCCCTCGGTCAAAACCAAGGGGTCGAGAGTACGTATAACACGAGCCCCTGCTTTATACTCGCAGTCGGGCTAGTGTTGGGCGATATGAGGGATTGTCATATCGTCCTATCGTGGGATTGCCGACACACGGTATTATCCTGCTAATTTACCTAATTATTTATTTACTCCGTTTCATTGCCGACTCCAGCGTGAGGCTAAAAGCAGCCTTACGTTTTTAATATGACTGGATTTGTATTTAACATGAAAACTATTTAATAGAAACATTGTAAGCTACTAATTACAATGCTTACATGTTATTCAAACAGCGGCTACAGAAAACGAGCAAAGAACATTTGCGTTAACGAAGAACACCATCGCTGACTCCGGTCTAGCGCGAGTTTATGCAGTTGAAAAAACACTCCCGTTATAATCAGTGAAGCCGTCTACACGTATGATGACTACATCTCTTATACTCGCACCGCACGCACACCTGCCCGTCCTTGTTTATGCTGAGAGAATTCGCGAGAGAGCTGAATTCCGTGAGCACATGCACTCAACAAAACAACAACAACATGACTCTCTGATTGGCCATTGTGTTCATAAGCTCAACAGAATCGTATGTGATTGGTTATTACACCGGGTCCTAACTGCACGCGACGCCGCGACGCGATAAAAGGTATCTTTTCCACGTTAATCAGAGGTTTTGTCCTAACTAGCCGCGATGGAGACACGCAAACTTTCTATTTTAGAAACGGTTTCTGTTTCCGCGCCGCTGCGGCTGGAACAACAGCATACAAACTAGGGCTGCACAACTAATCGAATTTCTAATCGCGATTACAATTACGACGCCACAATTACGTAATCGTTCAAAGTCCACTTATGTTATTCTGCACGCTTAAGATATGATTTTTTCTTTCTACATGTTATCTTAAAGGTTTTTCCATTGTTTTAGTATAACATTATAATAACATTCATATTTTTACTTTTTTATAATTTAAAGAAGAAACCAATCCGATGTGTAGTTGACATTTCAGGCTTAAAACTAGAAAAGCACTAAAGGTTTTTCAGCTGGTTTATTTTCATATAATAATACGGCATGCAGCTGCATCAAACAATGGTATAAACATCATTCAGTGTAAATTGTGATAATCGGAATTAATAATCGCAATTACAATTTCAAGGGAATAATCGACAATTATGATTTTTGTCAAAATCGTGCAGCCCTGATACAAACTATATGCCAGTAGATAATCTCAGGTGATCATGTGCTTTATTCAAAGTTAAACATGCCTAATGTGTGTTTGAATGTCATTTTGCGTGACCTTTTAGCCATACTGAAAGCAACAATAGATATTAAAATAAATTAAAGCAAATATGTACGAACCAACGAGTGTATTCCATGACAAAGATGTTATCAGTCACTCAGTATGTACATTTAATGATGTTAAAAAGCTTTAATATTTATGAATTAGATTATACATGTATCCATTTCGTTGCCAGTGCAGTGCGCTTCCAGAGAGGCTCCGCCCCCACACGCTTCTGATTGGCTGTGATGTTTGATTGATTCTGGTGTGGACACAAACTGTTTGTCGCTGGAATCTTGTCACGTCGCGTGTAGTTAGGACACGGTGTAACACACAACACTGTAAACACGTGGAAAAAGAAATATAATGGAACAAATAAGCCCTAATACTAATTAGATAGTGTTACTATCCTGATGATAATAATAATATTCCTGCTATCGTCAAAGGCATCAGCTACAGGCAATATCTCTGACTATCATCGATATATGATACTGTCGTCTAACGGCACAACCCTAGTCGGCGTGAAACGTCACGCATCACATGACCGTCATCTGTGGTGTGTGTGTGTGTTCAGCTGCCGCACCTGGCACACACACACACACACACACACACACACACACACACACACACACTCTCTCTCTCCCACACCAACACTCTCTCGCACACACTCTCTCACACACACACACACACACCACACACACTTTCTCACACACACCACACACACTTTCTCACACACACACACACACTGACAAACGCGTGATTGTTCGGTGGCTCTGACGCTGTGCAGGTGCAGCTACAGTCGGCTCATTCAGTGGATGCTGATCTGCAGTCGTGTGAATAACAGCTGTGGTGTGGTGTGTTGTGATCGTGATGTGGACGTGTCACACTCGCAGAGCTGCACAGCTCAGAATAATAACCACAAATGCATGATTAACTAATCACAGAAGTATAGATTACACCACTATACTCACATCCAAGAGTACTACACACTCACTCACACACGCACTCACACACGCACTCACACACACACTCTCACACACACACACTCTCTCACACACACACACACACACCACACACACACTTTCTCACACACACCACACACACTTTCTCACACACACTCTCACACACACACACACACACACACTGACAAACGCGTGATTGTTCGGTGGCTCTGACGCTGTGCAGGTGCAGCTACAGTCGGCTCATTCAGTGGATGCTGATCTGCAGTCGTGTGAATAACAGCAGTGGTGTGGTGTGTTGTGATCGTGATGTGGACGTGTCACACTCGCAGAGCTGCACAGCTCAGAATAATAACCACAAATGCATGATTAACTAATCACAGAAGTATAGATTACACCACTATACTCACATCCAAGAGTACTGCTCACAGTGAGTTTGTGCAGTGTTGAACAGCCAATCACAGAGAGGTCTGCTGATCACATGAACGCAGCAGCCAATCAGAGGCACAGAGGAATCTAATGAAGGCTTTCGCGATTCCTGTCATTATAGCCAACAAAATATTAAACTGTTTAAATGCGAGAGTGACTCAGTAACATTGACGCCTCAGAAACATGCTGCAAGCAGTAATCTTTGAGACAGCAGGAGTAAATATGCATATCCTGCTGCTGATTCTGTAATCGTGATGTTACCAAACAACTGAAATCAGTATCAACAACATCCCTTCTTGCACTGCATTGAGATGTACTGCATTACAATTACATAAACAGTGCTGTGAGAATGATTTTTAAATCTATTTTGAATGTTGAAATATTAAATTATTTTAAAAAAATGAAATACTTGAAATATTAAATTAAAACTGCCAATATGTAGCAGCAAGTCACTGTCTTAACGAATGAGTCACTGAATCATTCATTCCACCGATTTGTTGAAAAATACTGATTCATTCGGTAATGAGTGTTGCTCGGAGAAGCTCAACAGTTCTGCTGTGGCTTTGACTGGAAAGATAGACAGATTGGTGAAATAGAGGAAAAACAGACAATCTTCACAACATTGTGTCTAAAACGTAACTATAAATGCATGAATATTAACACATTCTTGTTTATTAAATTGATGTATTAAATCAATATAACTTCCATTTTGGGACTGTCCAAGTCCTACAAAACAGCATTTGTAATTGTGCTGATATTAAACCATCATATGATACAAATATGAGACGATACACATACAGGGAATTATTGCCCTCATATATTGGATTTGGAGTCATTTTGACTGTATTCAGCTTCTGCTAGTCCACATCACACAGTGTATACTTCATAATGTCAATAAACACGACAATAGCACACACCCCTATGTGTGTGTGTGTGTGTGTGTGTGTGTGTTCAGTCTGTCAGAAGTAGGTTAGTCACTAGTGCTCGGGGCTGTGTGTCAGTGTGTGTCAGTGTGTGTGGGTATTGACTGATGGAGCAGTGCTGTTAATGACATTAGTGTGTGTGTGTGTGTGTGATCGCAGCTGTCCATATGCTGTTTCAGTGAGTGTAAATGCTTATTATTGAACAACCACAACATCACACACACACACACTCACTCACACACACACACACACACACACACACATACACTAGTTCCTATCATTATGAGGACTTTCCGCAAGCGTCATGGTTTTTATGATGATACTCTCTCTGTCCTGACTCCAAACACAAGCCTCACAGAAAACTTACTGCCCTCTTTCATAATATGCTGTTTGTGTGTTTATTTTTTTTACTTTTTATTTATTTCTTCCCTTTTCTTATGTGTTTTTGTTCTGTCACTGTCACTCTGTTACACTGCAGAAGCTTCTGTCACGAAAACAAATTCCTCGTATGTGTAAACATACCTGGCAATAAAGCTCATTCTGATTCTGATTCTGATTAGTGATTTGATTATTTAATGTCGTGAACACACACTACACTCTGAGCACATTTATAATGTAGGTCAGACCAGTACACACACACACTCACATCACATGACGTCTGTCTCAGCTCTCGTATGAAAGGTCGTCTCTTCTGCTGAAGACTGTGTTGATCTTGGTTAGGGCTGTGCAAAAAATTGCCTGCAATAGTCATGCGCATCTCGTCAGTAAAACCGGCTCTGTGATTAGTGCTAAATCTCCATCACCTGCTTTCAGATGGAGCAGCATTTACTACACAGAGCCGGAGTTCACTGACAAGCTACACAAAACCACAATCATAATCACACGTGAATCATTGCAGATAATGAACGCCATATTGTGTAGCTTCATTATCTGCAATATTGTGGGGCCTATGGAAATTCACAATTGAGCAGACACAACTTTTTCAAAAATTTTAGACATAAAAGGAAGATTTGAGATGGGTCTGTAATTAGCCAGTTCACTAGGATCTAGTTGTGGTTTCTTAATAAGAGGCTTAATAACCGCCAGCTTGAATGGTTTTGGGACGTGACCTAAAGACAACGACGAGTTAATAATATTGAGAAGCGGTTCTTCTGCTACAGGTAACAACTCTTTCAGTAATTTAGTGTGTACAGGATCTAACAGGCATGTTGTTGGTTTAGATGCAGTGATAAGTTTATTTAGCTCTTCCTGTCCTATAGCTGTAAAGCACTGCAGTTTATCTTTGGGTGCGATGAATGAAGCTGAAGTATTATACGCTGTAGAATCTACATTTGCTATTGTAATTCTGATGTTATCTATTTTATCAGTGAAGAAATTCATAAAGTCATTACTATTAAACTGTGCGGGAATATTTAGATCGGGTGGCGTCTGGTTATTTGTTAATCTAGCCACTGTGCTAAATAAAAACCTAGGATTGTTTTGGTTATTTTCTATGAGTTTGTGGATATGCTCGGCCCTGGCAGCTTTTAGAGCCTGTCTATAGCTGGACATACTGTTTTTCCACGCAATTCTAAAAACTTCCAAGTTAGTTTTTCTCCATTTGCGCTCAAGACTACGTTTCTTTCTTGAGAGAATGGGTATTACTAGGAATGCACCGAAATGAAAATTCTTGGCTGAAGCCGAAACCAAACAAAATAAAACACTGGGCCGAAGGCCGAATACCTAACACGGTTTTTCAAGTTTTTTTCCCGCATGTATTTTGCCAGTTTTTTTCACCATTGCACAAATTAAATAGCCAAAATGTGATTTTTACTGTTTTGTCTTTCTTTTCATAGAAAAAATCTATTACAAAACAATAATTTAAAAATATTGAACACTACTATATTAAACATTTTTTTTAACATTCTAGCAGACATTATACCAACAAAGCACAATTTAACTTAAAATTAATAAGTTAGTAAAATAATATTTTTTTCTTTTCATAGAAAAAATCTATTACAAAACAACAATTTAAAAATATTGAACACTACTATATTAAACTTTTTTTTAACATTCTAGCAGACATTATACCAACAAAGCACAATTTAACTTCAAATTAATAAGTTAGTAAAATAATATTTTTTTGGCCATCTGACCCCGTTCTTGAATCAGGCATGTATTTTTTACTATACAAATAAAAGCAGCCTTGCTGAGCAGAAGAGCCTTCTTTTAAAGGGGTCATATGATGCTGCTAAAAAGAACATTATTTTGTGTATTTGGTGTAATGAAATGTGTTTATGCGGTTTAA